CACTACAGCGTGAAATTCGTTCTTCATGTTGCGGTAGGTGCAGGACATGATAAAATTATGAAGAATTTAATTGAAATTGGGAAGTAGCAATTGCTGACTATGTAAGACAGGGAGGGATACATTGAGCTTGTTCTTGCTGCTAAATTAACCGACAATGAGAAAATGGCAGAATGGATGGTTCTTGAAGGAGGGAAAAAGCTTCTCTGTATTGAAATTTATTTAATTTTAATAAAATGTTTACAATATTTATTAAAATTTTAATTTTAAGTAGTAAACAACGTCAATAACACTTTAAAAAGTTGTACTTTTATTGTATTCTAAATTTAATTATGCACAATAGTTCAAGCATTTTTAGTAATATTTTTAAATTTGAATTAAAATTTAACTACAACAATTTTCAATAACCTTTAACATATAACATTTATTATATAAATTATCAAAATAAAACTCTACTTTTAATTAAAGAAAATTACTTAAAAATACGTATGATATTAGTTTTGTCTTTACTTTCATACGTCAATTTTGTCTTATGTTTAATTAAGTCCTTCATTTGAAATTAACTTTCAAATGCTTTCAGGCATTCAAAGATGAAAAAGAACCATTGCCCAGTACTTAAAATTCTAAAGTACATGTTACTGGCAGCGAAGATTGGTGAGTTCGTAGATTTAATGAGAAAAGCAAATTCTAACCTTTCATTAGCTGTAAACAGTAATGGAAGATGCCTACTTGTAAATGCAATTTTGAATTGTCAAGAAAATGTGTTTAAACTCATGCTTAGAGTAGAGGGCCATAAAGAGATTTTTGCATCCCATCATAATGAGTTTGGAAATAATATATTGCATCCCATCATAATGAGTTTAGAAATAACATATTACACTTCGCAATAGAATTAGACTTTCCCTACTCTACATTTGCTAATAAAATTTTAATGGTTCAAGGTAAGCAATCAAGTTCAATCTATATGTTATTTATATTTTATAAATTTTTTGGATTGAATTTGTTAGAAATATAACTTGTAAAATTACTTTTTTCTAAGAAATAAATGAAAATAAACTAACTTTTGTAAGTGTGCATTTACTTTTTTTTTAGTTGGAACATTTTAATAAACTTAAACTTTAATTGTTTTAATAATATTTTCAATGGTATAATACATAAACATGCTTCTTCTAAAAGATAAATAAGAGCACTCACTTATTTTTTTAGGAATATTGTAATAATTATATAATCTTGAATTTGTTAAAATACACATGAAAGAGTAATTTGCTAAAATACTCTTATAAAATAAGTATATATTAAAAACATGTCATGTGTACTAATATACTCATGTTTTTTTAAAAAAAAAAAAAATTGTTTATAGGCTCAATTTGAATTTGGTAAGATATTCATTTTGCAAAATTGTCTCTTATAAGATATATCGCATTCGAAAAAAGAATAAACATTATTAAGTAAGGGAGAACTATGACTGACAACAAACGAGTCCTAATTCTTGAATTAACAGCGTACTAAATTCAAAAAATTTCCTCTATAAAATGCTATAACTATCAGCTTCAAGAAAATATTTTCTTTAATTTAAGTCAGTATACCTAGGTTGGTAGTCTATCTCTTTATTGATCAAGCATTAATAAACATTTGAATTCTTCGAATTTAATTAAGATAAATGTTAACCAGCCTTCTAGCATTAAGGAATAACAAATAAAAAGTTCTTTGAAAAATATATTTATCACTATCTCTTATTCTCTCTCTATTTAAAGAGTCATTGATTTTAAATTTTTTCCTGCATGTGTTACTCTCTTAGACGATTAACAGTTGAATTGATATGTAAATATAAAATAGTGAATATTACTAATGAAGATATCTATATTAATTTAAATATAATTTATGAAGTAAAATAGTAAAAATGAGGCATTAATATTAACAACTAATAACTGAAACAATAATAGATACCCATGAGAATTACTTCTGGTTACCTTTTTGTTTGAAATAAACAAAGATTCTGTCCAACTACTAAATCAATTTTCATTGGTTCTTGATCGGTTCATTTAGTCTTGACAATCCAATTTTGAGTCATTTAGATCGATTATCTGACCCGTTCATCAATTGCATTACTCTGATTTTCAAAATTATGATGTTATATGCATAGTTGAAATAAAAAAATAGTAAATATCTTCATTTCAAAGCTTCGTGATATAAAAATGCATTAAATAATTTTAAGACTATAACATATTGAATATGTTTATTTATTTTATTATATTCACTATTTTCAAAAATTAAGAAATATGAGAAAATTTGTTAATTGAATATAAATATTATTAAAGCTTAATTATGTTTTTAATTTCCATAAAAGTAATACCAATTAAAATAAGTCTTTAAATTTTTAATTTATTACGATTCAGTCAATTCTATAGTTTCTAAAAATTTTATTATTTAAAATTTTTCATTCCATAGTTACAGTGACCCCTGTCATTTTTATATGCTCTTAATGGAGGCCGAGAAGATCGTAGAATCCTAGAGGTGGAAGGAGGATCATGCTCTATCACATAAAACACCTTTAACCCATAAGAAAGAAAACTCACAAAGGCTTTAAGTGCAAAGTTTCTGTCTTTGTACAAATTTACCAATGAAATCCAGTTTTTCTCTGATCTACACAACATAACAAAACCACAACTTGACAAAAACCCACACCCTTCCTTGCTTTTGAGTCCAAAAATGCATTAACTTGTAACAAAACTCAAGTTAAATTTTTTCTCTTTTTAATATTCTTTAGAACCCAACTTCAGCTTTTCTTTGATTTCACCACATGAACAGTGATTAAAAGCCACTCCATAAAGAAAGGGAGTAAAAGGGTGTGTATAGAGCAAGTAAAATAGCATATACATACCCGATCAAAGTAGAAAAATGGCAATGCAATTGCAGAGCAAGAAATCTTCTTCCATGGCTCTGGAACAAGTGGTGTGTGCTTAGAACAAAGAGAAACGAAAAAAAAAAAAAAGGAGAAAATGGAATTCAGATTTCGTACAAGGTCAAGGAACACTGTTGAATATAATAACTGTGAAAACTCAAAGGTTCAACTAAACTTCCAAACACGCATATTCTAAGTGCCATATTGTCATTGAAGAGAAACTTCGATCCAAGAAAGATAAGAGAGGGCAAGTTGCGGTGAGCAGGGGATTTTTTGGTTAGGAGGAAATTGGGATTGAAAGAGTGTGGAGAGAAGTTGAGGAAATATTTTTTTAAAATTAAAATTTTAAATGATTTTTTAAGGACTTTTTTTAAATATAATTTTTTAAATAATAAAATTTTTAAAAATAACGATGATATAACATTGATGTGAATTCAACTGATTATTTAACGGTAATTATTGACTGTAAAAAAATATAATATTTTAAATAAATTAAAAAGTGAATCTTAACCAAAAAAAAATATTTTAAAAACTTATTTTGAAGGATAGCACTTTTATAAAAACAAAAATATAATTAAGTCTATTATTAAAATTTTATAGATTAATAAAATTTAATGAGATGAAAATTCACGAATATTAATATCTTCTTAATTATATATTTGATTTTTTGTCTTTTTACCTTATTAAGTCATATACAAATTTGTGAAAGGAAAAAATTTTAGAGACATAAGTTTTTGACTTTTTGAATATATCTTACTATATGTTAATATTAAAAATATGGTTATAATATGAAAAGGATAGTAATGCGTCTAAATAATAATATTAAGTAAAATATTTTTTTACTTCAAATGAAATTTAACTTTGAATTTGGAAGGTAGTTTTTAAGACTTTTTTTATAACTCTAAAAATCAATAGATTGATATTTTTTTGTTACAAGTAAATGATAATTTTCTTTCAGTTTTAATTAGTCTATATTGATAGTTTACTATTGTTTAGGACTTTTACATTTTTTATGATATTTTTCCTTTAATTATTTTCATGTTATTTAACTCATTCATGATAATTTTTCTACTTACAACTTATATGCTTTAATGAACATAGTTTTGTTGACTCATAATTGAAATGTTTGTTTTATTATGTATTCATATAAACTAATTTTTTTACCGATATTTCGTTAAAAATGAGTACTAATTTATTTATATTAAACATATTTTTGGAATAAAAATAAATTAATTATATGTCTTCTTAAATTTATTAAATTTTGAAACAATAAATACCTTTAGAGTAATAATTAATTTTATAATATTAAATAGGACTATAGAGATAACATTTTTAAAATTAAAAAAATAAAATTTAAATTAAATATTAAATATTAAATATAAAAAAATTGCCACCTAATTAAAAATACTTTCACTTAATATAACTTTGTATATTTACCTCTGTATATAATTTATAAGTACAAATTCTAAAATAATAGATATTTTATTATATTAAAAAAGTTATGTAAAGAGATAAATATTAAAATTAAAAAAATAAATTATGAAAATTGTAAACTTTAATTGAATATTAAATTAAAAATAATTTTTAATATAAAAAATTACTTAAAATGATTAAAAAAAACATAACTAACCCATAAAACCATATAAAACAGTTAAAAAGGGTCTAATTTAAAAATTAGTACTCACTTAATGAGAGTTTGATAAACGATCCTAAAAATAATTGGGAGGAGGTGGTGTTGTCAAAGTTGGGCAGAAATTTGCTTGGATGACCCACATTTGCACTCATGTAGTAAAATTATTATGACAATAATTTATAATAATTATGCCTTAATTTATTTATTTATTTATTTTCTAAAAATATTCATTATATATATCTCACTGCGTGTAATAACATTTATACAAAATGGTTAATAACGCATCAGGCATGGATTGATAGAGAAACAAAACAGTGTGTGATATCCCATTATGATGATCAGTAAGAAACTCATAACTTATATAATGTTAAAGACAAATAATGAGTAAGAAACTCATAACTTATATAATAGTAATATTTATAATTCATGAAATATAAAAAGTATATATAATTTGTATAAATTTATACCCTAGATCCTATTTTTTAATTTATCACCAGTGCATTTAGGATTTTGTTTAGCCAAAGTTTGACGACCAGTTTCCTTTAAATCCACTTTGCATGCATGCTTTTCTGGGTATCTATGCTTTCCACAAAACAACTCTCCACAACGGCACTTAAAGCCAGTTAGTCCAACCTTCTTATTGCAGCTTTTGCACCTTTTCTCCTCACTCTTAGAGTCACTGGGAACAGTGGAAGAGCTCCCAGAAGCACATGCTTTACCAGACATAGATGATTCAAAAACATAGGTCTTACCTGTCGAACTCTTGAATTCGATCTTCAAAACGTTATTCGATTCCAGATAATCTCGGTAGCACTTTGAGCAAAGGTTTAGGTCTGTAGTTGAACCAAACAAGCCACACTTAGCACAAAGTGGTGGATCCATGTTGCTTATGTTGGTTTGGCTCAAACGAAAATTTTACAAGAAAAAGATATTGACAGGAAAATTTGGAGAAAGAACAAAATAGAGTGGGTTAATTTATAAGAAATGATGGCAAGAAGTAATATCCATAAACATATCTTATAATTAATTATAAATCATCTACATTCAAGAAAACTATTACTTATTTCCTTGCAGTTTTAATTTTAAAAACTGAGCATGCTAGACGTAAATTAGTTTCTTATTATTATTACCAATTAGTTCTACCCACGCTATATACACGGGTGTATTAATATTTGCTAATATATATATATATATATATATATATAAGCGACATTTAATAAAAAAATTCTTAGTTTAAAATACTGATTCAAAGATATATAAATAAAATGTAATAAAATATATTTTTTAATTTTAATAATTGTATAAAAAATTTATAATTTATGACCCATCCTTAAATTATATATTTAATTAATTTTATTACAGTAAATTTTTTCCAAATTTTATATTTATTTAATTAAATGTAATTGTTTTAAAATAATATACCAAATTAATTACCTTTGATCATCATGATCCAGTCAACAAAATAATAAAAATAATCAGCATTTCTCTGAAAAAATAATAATATGATTTAATTCAAGATAACATTTGCTCTGAAAAAATAATAATGAGTCAAGGCTAGTAATTTCAAAAGAAAGAAAGAAAGAGCATGATAACTTTAAACTAATATAATAAACAAAGCTTAAAATTTAATTTATATATTTAACTATCACTACATATTAAAAATATTCAAAACAAAATTTTTGCATAAAGACTGAATGAAAGATACGAGCTTGTCTAAAGAAAAACACAAAAATAAATTAAATTAAAGAAAATATAAAACCATCAATCAAATAGTATATATTTTAAATATTAAGTACAATGTTTAAAATAACTAATTTTTACTATGTATTAAAGGTCCCAAACTTTTTACCATGATTTATTTTATAAATTTTATTTTAAAAGTTTTTCTTTATTATAATCAAAATAAATATTAAAACTGAATGCATGACCAAATACGGAAAAAGTGTCTTCGTCTTTATTATTTGTTTCTATAATTTTTTTAAAATTATAAATTACTTCTAAAAATAAAAATAAAAATTAATAAATTTGTATAAAGAGTAATATTTTTATTATTATTAATAATAATAATAATAAAATAAATTTAAAATATAATGTTTTTTTTCCATTGTTTTCACTTTGAAAGTGTTATTGTTACTATTATTTGTTTTAGTATATGTTTTTTTTTATCATTCCCGTATAATAAATAAGATCTTAATGTCATGTATACAATGTCTCTTTCAATATTTTGCATGTGTAAAAATAATTAGAAATACATTTTAAATTCATACAAGAATTAAAAATTTATAATTTTGTCAAAAATATGTTACTAACCCTATTTGAGAAAGACTCGGTGATTGAATTTTTCAGTTAAAAAAAACTTAAAGTTATTAAAAAGAAAATCGACAATTTTATCAATAATTAAATAAATTAACAATAAAAAATCTATCACTACTATTTACAATGAATAAATGAGTCGTAAAAAAGGTTTGCATGATTTTTATTTTTTTAAGTTAACCATTTTTGGTCCCCAATGATGTATTAGGAAATGGTAAGGTATGTGATTAGCTACATTAGTTTTTTTCTACTAACAAAAAACTTAAATATAACAATAATTTTTAATCGCTTTTAATATCTTTAAAGGTTTTTATTTTTTCTTTTAAATACCTTTCAAAAAATATCTTTTTATCTTTTATTCATAAAAATATTATTTTTTTATTATTTTCAAATATCTTTTAAAAAATTTACACCTTTAATATAATTTAAAAAAAAAAAAAACACTACAAGAAATACATGAATATCGATCGGATTGTTGATGATTTGTATGACAGTTATAATTTGTATCTGATAGATCGTCGTGGTTGAGGTTATGCACAAGCTCTCTCTCTCTAGACATTATCTCCATTTGCATTCCTAAGGATCTTACAAAGGATACCAACCATTTAGGCCCAAACACACTCATGGTTAGGAAGAAGAGACTATGTGGTGTCGTCGAACTTAAAGGACTTAAGACTATTCATGCGATTGAAACAATTTTCTGTGTTGATGGTTTTAATCAAAATATTTAATTTGTCTATCTTAACAATTCTCCTTTTTCTTAAGTAATTTTTCTACTGTTACTGATTTTTTGAGGCTTTAACATTTTTTTTCCAACTATTAGCTGTTAACATATTTTCCATGCGTCAATAAACTTCCAAATGCAACATAAATAGACCTTTTCTCTTTTAAGTTTTCTCAATTTTTTTTTAAAATTTAATAAGGATTTCTTTTTCTTTTCTATTTTTATTCGTGGTGACCTTGATTGTAACACTCACGAACAAATTCAATAAAGCACGAGTGCACTATATTAAAAACGGCATTTCTAGCTTTATTTCAAATTGCATAAGAACCAAGTAAAATTAATGTTTCTCACACGAACTGATCAAACTTGAAAGGAATATGTTATCTTAAACTAAAATTTATAGATAGAAATATTATAGAGAAAAGTTGTTGGTGTTGGCCAATGGGTCTAACCAGTAGAGAATAGATGATATTTTGTATCCACATTTATCGTATATTAACATTAGATTTAATTTCTTTTGAGTTAATTTCATATAAAACTCACTATCTGTCGTCTCTGTTCATATATATAGCACAGGAAAACAAAAAATCAACATCATTAAAAATATACCATTATTATATAATAAAAGGAGAGATTTTTTATTTCTATGAATGGTTAATAATGTCCAATTATACACAAGTTAATAACAAGAAAGAATTGTTAAATGAAAAAATAACGAGCAAGAAATTCATCACCACAAGAATTGTTAAATTCCTAAAAATTTATAGCTTAGATCCTATGTTCTAATTTATCACCAATACATATAGGATTTTGTTTAGCCAAAGCTTGACGACCAATTTCCTTGAAATCCACTTTGCAATCATGCTCTTCTGGGTGTCTATGTTTTCCACAAAAAACATCCCCACAACGACACTCAAACCCAATTAGTCCAACCTTTTTATTGCAGCTTTTGCACCTCTTTTTCTTGTCCTTCACGCTTGAAGAGTCATAAATGGCAACACTAGCCATAGGATCACAAACATTAGTTATAAGGTTATTTGAAGAACATGGTTTAAGAGACGTAGATGAGTCAAGAGTAAAGAGCTCATCCTTCGAACACTTGATTTGACTCTTCAAAACTTCATTTGATTTAGATATTTTTTCTTTGAGACAATCTTTGTAACACTTTGAGCAAAGGTTTTTGTTTGCAGGAGAAGAAAAGAAGCCACAACCATTAGCACAAAGTGGAGGATCCATGTTGCTCACTTAGTTTGCCCTAAAGAAGAAACGCAAGGAAGAGATCTTGAAACGACGCAAATTTGTAGAAAAGAAAACAAAGTAATGCTATACCTATAGGATAGGGTATATATAACCCAAAGATAGTCAAAACCTAAATAGATATTAACTAAATACAAGTCCTAATAAAATATAAAATCCCTAAAAATAAGGAAAAATAACAATAAATGGCACCAAAACAACAAAAGTAATCCTAATTTATTCTGTATTAGAATCCTTATCTTATATGCATTGAACTAGTTAGGTGGATGGTTGAATAGATTGGGTTAGTTTATAGGGGATTATGGCAATAAGTAACATCCTCAAGCATATCTTGTAATTAGTTATAGATAATCTACAACTAAGAAAATCCAGCAATTAATGACCAGTTGCTATGCTGTTTTTACTTTAAAAGTTTGATCTTATACGTCAAATATGACGATGATGATGAAGTTAAGGAATGTCAGAAATCACTTGAATTTATTTCTTTTATGGATATGGCATTAATTAAACAATTAAAATTTTTAAACGAATTTCAAATTTTAGTATGAATTCAGCTATAGATTACTTTATTTGAGTGATTCTTTTTTTTTTTTTTTTAAGAAGTAACATAAAATAATTAGTTATTTATTATCAGTTTTTATTTTTCTAAAATATCATTTATCTTATGTTCCTGAACAAGGATATAATTGTTAGACCTTCAAATTTTAATTAAAATTACTAATCTACCTAAATTAGAGTCATTGTTCTTAAATCTGAATTTATTAGGAGTCCTCTTAAATAAAAAAAATATTTTGAAGAGCTATTTTATTCTTATTACGTTGTGTGACTTCTCTTGCATTGAACATTTAATTTTTTTTAATTCAATCTTAATTTTACTTAAAATATTTTAGTTTTTATAATTTTTAATTAAAAATTTTTAATATCTTTATTTTACCTTTTATTTTATATAATAAACATTTATTATTGCTTCTTAAAATATTTTATATTTTGTAAATTTATTCAATTTTAAAATAGTCATAATTTTTTAATTTTTAATAAAAATTATTTAATTGAATAACATTTGTGTTATGTTGAAAAAAAATCATTAATTTGAATTGATGGTCATAGATACAATGTTACTTGTAAAAAAATATAAATAAAAAACATATATTAAATTAAATTCCTAGTCAATAGAATTTTTTTTAAAATACAATTTTATCCTTTCTTATATATTAAATCAAGTTTATTTTCTTGATAGTGATTGAATATTTTTCTCTATTTATTAAATAATGACACTTGTAATTTGTAATCTCTATTTTTTTTTCTCATGTTATAAATTTAAATATTTGGAATCAACTATATATATGTGTTTGTATCAATTTTTTATTTTTACTTGATAAAATTATGCATTTTCTTGATAGAAAGAGATAAAATAGAGTAGGATGAAATAAAATAAACTAGATATGATAGTCTAAAAAGTAAAATGGGAATAGTTAAAGATAGATTAATTTGATTATATGCATAGGTGGGTATAGGGTTGCCTCGCTCCATAAGGTCGCAGTTAAATGAGTCAAATCACACAGGTCAATATTTAAATGTGCCTTATATACGAAGCTCTCTCTCACATAAGCACGTGGTTAGATGGGTTATCCCACAAATTTTTTTATTTTAAAATTTTTATTTATTAATATTTTACTTATACTTTATCATTCTTATTTTAAAATAATTAAAGTTATTAAAAGTTAATATTTTAATTTTTTTTTTTGCAAGTTAACGGGTTAGCTTGCAGGCTTGTAGGTTTACCTCATGGGTATAAAAGTCAACATGCGAGACTTACATTTAAATGGGCCACTTATTTTTATGCGTAAGCTCACAACGGACTAAAGTATGCAATATTTAGTGAGTTTTTTTAATGTGTATTATTAAATTGAAATAACTTTTTGAAATAAGTATTTAACTGTATATTACATTATTATTTTAAAATTTTAAAAATTTTAATAATTGAAAAATGAATTAATAATAATTATTTTATATTAAAAAGAAAATTATAAAATAAAATTTTCAAAATAAGAAAATTTTATTAAAAATTGAATTTTTAAATTTTAAAAAATTGAATGCAGAAGAAATTATGTAGTGTAATTAGAAAGATAATAGTTGATTAAAACGTTCTTTGTTAAAATTACTTCTAAAAATATGAAATGATTGATAACTAAGTAGGGCGTGTTTAAATATAACTATACACTTATTCGATAAGCTTTTTATTTGCATGAGCTAATAAGACCTTATTTTGATATAGATAAAAAAAAAAAAAACTAATAAAATAAGTGCATAAGAATCATAAATTATGTTTATAAACTCTTTTGAACGTTTCCTAAATTTCTCGTTCAATATGACAAAAATAATACTTAAGACAATTTTGCCAATTGTGGGTTAAAGCCATTTCATACAAAACGCTGTTAAGATAAACCAGTTTGTACATTATTGAGTAATTTATGATTTATAAACAAATTAGAGTACTTTTTAAGAATTATGTTTATTAAATTATGTCGATATAGCTGTTCGTAATCAGTGGTGAGCTAAGGATGATGGGAAAGAATAATGGTACCCTCCTGTTACTACTTACTCCTACAAGTTAATATTTTTTATAATTTATTACAATCTTTCTTATTTACCACATAACAGGTAACTTTTAACAACATTATCAAAATAATATGATAAAATTGAAATTAAAGTATAAATAAAATATTAATATATTTATAATTATTTTAACATTATTTTATTAGAATTCGTTATAAATTATAATTAATTGTGATTGTTTATTTTGTCAAAAAATGACTAATATTATGATCTATTTGATAATGCTTAACCTTATTAATAATGTGATCAATTACTTATCAGTTTTAGATATTTAATATTGATCAATGTGAAACATAGTGTGAACCTAACCTTTAAATTTATGATAAAAAATGCATAAGGTTAATAAATACAACGGTTAAGTCACATTTGCTGTCATAGAAACATATTTTATTGTTCTCTAGGTTTGTCCCATTGAGAACATAAAATTATGAGAGCGTAATTAGCTAATAGAAGATTTTGACTTCTCATTCATGAAGGATTTATACTTCACGTACGTTATTTACTTTATAATTCACAATATCTATAACAAATAAATAATTTTACAATTACTCTATAATTGATATTATAGATTCATATAATTAGATTCATAAAAATTTTATTCTTACCTTTAGTATCAGAGCTATTATTATATAATTGAGAATCCAATTATTTGTTGAATTGATATGAATTTAGATTGAATTAAGTGATATATTAAATTCTTTGACCGTGCGCTGATGAAGTTTTTGCTGCACTACTATTCATGATAAATTTTTATTATATATATATATATATATATTTGGAATAAATGTTACAAAAATTTTAAGATAGTCCTTAAAGAAAATATAGGAGTAAACAGTGGCTGTTTAAAATTTGAGTGGAGGCTTGATTTAAGAGTGTGGGAGAGAATAAACTTAATCTTGGCAATCTGAACTCATGCTTATCTTATATACCAACTTGTTGCTATTCCACCAATGTTAGACTTTGCTATCTAACAGAAGCAACCTGCAGCTACTTATGATCATGTGGATGACAAAGAAGGAAAGAAATCACAGATTATGTAAGCCACCTAACCTAGTTTTCTCGATTCATCTGCATAACAGAAGGATATTTTATTTTTGCAACTCTAAATTGATCAGTATTTTCTGGATAACACGCTGCTGTAATTAGGCAAGATATCTTGTTAATAAGGGGGACAACTGAGAGAGAAAGTTGATGTCTGTCATTTCCAAATTACCTTATGACTAGAGAGGTCTCAAGTGATGATAAAAGTTTCTTATTCATTTTCCAAATTTGCCTAGAGATAGATACCTTATGGCTAGAGATGATAAAGGTTGGCATGTGAATTTTTACAACAAAAATGACAATTTTTTTTTTTTTGGGTCAGAGAGCATGTCGTTTGGCATACCAAAACTACACATTAGTGATTAGACAATAAACATCAAATTGTTGGGTTCAGAATAAACTATCAATTTTGAGGGAAAAAAAAAGGGGGATAGTGTTAAAACAACTTGTGAGGAAATATCTTGTATTAAGAATTTTTTAGATCCCAAATGATTTTTTTGTTGCACTATTGACATGTGTATGAAGCACCTGGCTAGTTACAAAATGGAATCAACCTGAAAGCCAAAAGGGTGGACTTTTGTGTGTCAAAAATGTCTACTTTACTATAAATTCCAGAATTAACATCTCACGTCTTTTCACTTCAATTGCACCAATATTAACCCTAGTCCATACAATTTGCTGAAAGCCTCGGGCAATATATAGGCTATTGAAGTGATCAATTCCATACCTTGTTGGATGCTCTAAAACTGTTTCTGATTTCTATGGGAATATTGATCCATATTTGCTCCTAATGAAAAGCTTGTTTCACAGCTATCAATTGAAAGTGAAGATATCCAAGAGGCAATGTAGAGATTGGCAGAGTCCAGTGACTATGGCAAAGGAAGACAAGCACACATACATGACTAAACTAGTCACTTCTTCAACTTAACACATCAACACGTACATGATATATAAAAATGACCTGTATCATCTCCTGAAAGTTGAGATTGGTGTCTCATTTAAGGATGTTCCTTATTGAATTTGAATAATTTTAGGCATACTTTTGAGTGTAAAAGCTGCATTAACAGCATTTATATCCAAACAAAACAAAAACATGATACCATATTTGCCAAAGAGAGATATATTACAGAAAATTGAGATTCCTACTGAGATGGCAAATCAAGAAGTAGATTAACAGAAGAAAACAGAAAAACTAGACATCAACATTAAAGAACCATTCAATCCCTTGACACATCCACTGATCCACCAAACAAATATTCCTATAAAATGAACTATCCAATCCCTGTAAAGATCCACAGATGATGTAATCCTTAACAAAGCACACAGCAGTAAACTAAGCCAGAAAAACTACTTATCTCAAACGTTCTGTAAAAATGAAACATCCCTGGTTGAAAATGCGTTGTGCTTCATTCAAGTGCACCAAATTCCTGTAAACTATTTGCAGCTTTTCATATGGCCTTTCCCTATGATATGTAGCTTTATCAATATTGGAAATACCAGAAACGTACAAAAGAGAACATGTTACATGTATTAAATAGATAAAAAAAGTAGTGCCTTTTCAGTAAATAGAGTCAGCCACTACCATCAGCAAACAAATAAATGAAAAATATGATCCAGAACAGAGAAGGAGAAAAAAATACTACTTCGTGTAAATTTTCAAATACAGTTTTGTCAAAATTATTGCCTAGCAACTGAAAATTATCAACAGTGAAATTCTCAGATGCCATTCCCATTGTAGAAGAAACATGATGACAACACAGAACTTCTGTGTGACAAGCTACATTTAACTTGAGATTCTCAATTCCAAAAGAATATGGTAAACCACGAGTGACATGTTATCTCAAGCTTTTATCATGATACAGCACTGTGTTGATCTCAACTATAAGCCAAAATTGCACATCTGCACAAACTCCATATCATTATCCACATATTTGGTCCAGAGATTTTTGTATTGATTCAATGCAATATCAAGCCAGGGTTTCATGTTTCCATTGTAATGAATTACTGCAGCATTATTGATCTCATACATGCTAATGCTGGGATTGTATCCTAGCCCATGCACATGCCATGATTTGTCCAATGACTTGGTAGAGGAGTAGAAGGTGATCAAACCAGGTGGAAGTGTCCCCGATTTCCACAAAGTTTGGTCTTCATTCTGAAAACATAATCAAACCAAAAATTTAGTGAGTTGCTCTTGACAGTAATCCATTTAGCAATCATACAAGCGAACGGCTTGAGCAATGAGTATTATTTAGACAGTCTTTTCTTAGCAAAATAATAGGGTCAGAAACATAGCATTAGCACAAAGAAGAAAACTACAAGAAGAAATATACCTTATTCTGCCAGTAATGGTAATTATCTGTACATTTTTCACGCCTCCAAGCATCAAGATTAAATATATTCACTCCATAGGTCCAGGCACAAGATTTTGGATTGAAGCTGTCCTTGATTAAAGGATGAGAGAAATTCATGTATTGGGCATATCGGTGGAAAGATCCAAAACATATCTCAACGGCACCATTCACCTTCCCATCTAAATCAATTTTCCACAAACCTGTCAAGTCTTTTTGAACCACAACGTCATCATCCAAAAGTAAGATCCTATGCAAATTAGGGTACATCTCTGGCAAATAAAATCGAAGGTGATCTAACATTGACAGGTACTTAGCATTTCTAAATTTCAGGTTGGCATCATTTGCGGCATTTTCAGCTTGTTTCTCAAATAAAAGTTGCTGCATTTTTTCTGACTCAAGTTGCCTCAACACTGGGACATATGATGAGTTTAAGAATGTGAATTCTTCTACTGACTTTACCTCTAGAAACGCACCCCCTTCAACTGGCCTCATCTTAAACCAAACCTTCATTGCTGCAACATTCATCCTGTTCGTAACTATGTGAAAAACATGCTTCCATGGCTCTATTGCATTCTTCACCACAGATCTCACCACCACCGACACAGCTATTACATTGTCTGAGAATATTGCATAATGATATAGAGTCGGATCTTCAAACTCCGGCTTGGGTTCGTCGTCCCTATATTTCTCCGGATTTGAAATCTTCTCACCCATTAACCTCATTGCCAAACAATGCAAGCTTTTGGGAATCGATTTGGCAGAAATCAAGCTCGCCAACGCACCATTCTTCTTTGCTTTCGCAAGCGACTCATTAACGGCAAATATGGTATCCTTCAACTTCTGAATCTTAAGTTGATTATCATAATTCTCTTTCGCCTCAACAATCATCATCCGCGCAATCTTCACTCTATCCTTAACCTCCTTCTCAAACTGCCTCAACACATCCTCATCAATCGGACCATCCGACTCAAACAGCGATGCTTTATACATCGGCTTAAGAGCAATATCAGAAAAATTGCGCGCCAATTCATCAAACATCTTCAATTGCCTGGATATGTCAAGCTTGAGCTTCCTAGCGTAACCACCATAGGCATTCACTAGTGTTATGTGATCTTTAGCTTGCTGGTGTATCAAATCCACTCGGGTCCTAAGAGGGTCAGATTTCAATGCCAAAAACGTTCGATGCACGTATGCATTACCAGTAGTGGGAAGATCCTGTGACAGAAAAAACACCCTAAACTGTTACACGGGGTTCGTTCAAAGTTGTCAAATTGTAAAATCACCATGTGGGTTAGGCTTTAAACCGAATCTACAATAATGGGTCGTTTCCAATTAAGCAAATTAAAAGTGGGTTTCGATCAAAATCGAAAATTTGGCACAAAAACAGAAAAAGCCAATTAAAAGTGCATGAAAACAGAGGAACTTACAGAGTCATCGTTTGATGTGGAGGGATTGGTGGTGAAGAGCACCGAAAGAGTGGCAACGAAAAGAAGAGAAAACATGGCCGAGATGAAGATCCGGAACGAGAAGAAGCTACGAAAACTAGATCCACCTCTGCCTCCTCTCACAGCAACCGCCATTGGATCTTGAACTTAGCACCAAAAACCGTTGCTCTGTGTAAGATCCAGGGATTTGAATTGAAGAATCTGTGTTAAAAAGTTGAGGGTACTTGTGTGTGTTTTTAACTTTCATTCATTTGAATTGGTTCAATGGAAAGTGGTGTTGGCATGGTGGGTTTAGGGGCAGGAAATTAATAGGATTGGGACAAGGAGATGTGTAAGAGAGAGCATGCATGTAATGAAAGGAGTCTAGTGAGATTGTGATGTGAAAGTGTGTGTTGGGTTGTACACGGAATGTGCAGAAGTGGGCTAGTAATGTTCTCAACCTGAATTTTAGGATATCTCTCGCCTCCATCGCATTCTTCGCTTATTAATGTTTTCTTCACATTATGCCTTTTTTTTTTTTTTTTTTTAACTTTCATCATAGTTTTAATAAAAAATTATTATTTTAAATTATTTAGGAACATATTTATCGACATGACTATGACTTATTACATCTTATTTATTTAATAAACTTCAAAAACAGAATAAAATTAAAAAAAATATCATATTTTCTTGGCATGTCTTCTAAATAAACCCTTAAAATCAATAATAAAATTTGATATTAATATTTTTTATTAATTTATAAATTGTTTCCTTTTTTTTTTGTCTTACTTTCTTTCGTTTTTTCAATGTGTAATTCATGTATTCATCATCTTTTTTTTTTGTCCTGTTTATGTTTTTCTCTTTCTTAACAAGATGAGCTTAAAAAATATTTTTATTTTACACTAGATGCTAATGTTAAGTTTCAGTGCATATTAGCCAGTAGTATTACTTTGATTTGGTGCATTTCTAAGGTGAATTCATGCCAACCAATCCATTTGGTTTTTTGTTTTCTTTTTCAAAATCGAATTGATGTTTTCATTTGACTAAACAATCCGACCAAACTAAACGCAACTTAAGTGTTTTGGTTAATTTCCATACAGTTGACTTTTGATCAAATATAATTTAAGATAAGCTTACATAAATTCGTAGTGATGTAGTTCATGTGAAAAGTACATTTTACTTTACCAATTACTACCTTTTTATGGTGTATTTAACAATAAATTTGATTAAAAACCAAAATAAAAGTATCATTAATTTCTTATTATTAATGATTACCCTGTTTTTGGTCAGGCATTATCCCACAATAGAGTCAGCGTGAATCTCCTTATGCTTAAATAGCTAAACTCAAAAGCAAACCTAATCCTCTTAAATAGAAAAATAATTGAAAAACACAACATACACAATTTTTTTAATCAAATAAAATACACACCGATTTGTAGCAGATAATGTTGAAAGTTAGGCTCTAATCCATAGCAGTTGCCAAATAAATATGAGCCCAAAAATAAATGGCACTCCAAACTATAGCTTTAAACACCAAATTTAGGGCCCAAAATCCATCTTTAGAAGCTTTACCTCTTTCTAATTCTATTTCCCGTACACATTCCTTCATTGCTGCAAAGCTAGACTCTTACCTCCATTTTGATGACTCAATAAGAATATGGGATTTCGACAAAAAGAAAAACAATACAGGGAACTCAAAGAAACTCTAGCGCTCCAATGTGACTGAAGAGAAGCATCTTGGATACAAATAAGTCATATGGTCTTCTCTAATTTCAACTTAATCTAAGACTATACGTGTTAATTATGCTCTATTGCAATTGATTCATTCTTGCCACAGAAATCACAAGAACAAGAATAAACTAAAAATGAAAATTCACATGAATTTTATATATGGCATAGTATCAAAATATCTAAATTATTTCTATTAATTTTATGTTGTGTTTAAATGAAATAATAATAAATATTAAGTTATATATATTTGAATACTAAAAAGGTATTTATAGAATCCTCTGAAATTTTAATTAACTAATTTTTATATCAAATAGAATAAATTTTAAATGATATGTTTTTAGAGAGAATTTAAAAATTCTTTTATTATACTTATATTTAATTTTTTTATAATTATTATTCATAATTTTTCTCATACTTTACTTCACTTAAATAATTTTATATTATTGATTTCATATACTGTATGAATTTTAAAATTTTCTATCAAAATACAATTTTAGAGTCTGGATTTATTGATGTTAAATGTTAAGTTTGAACACTTATATCACTTAATAACTTTTGTAAAAGATGAGATTAATTAATTTAACCATTAATTTAAAAGTTTTTATTAAAATCAACTTTGTTAAATTTTATTAAAAAATAAAATTACTAAATAATTTATCATTTTACTTTAATTCAATAGGTATATATTTTAAAATATAAGTAAATATTAAATTTTGAATAACATACGTATAAATATTTTAATTTTGTAAAATTTAATATCCATAATCAAGAAAATAATATAAAATAATCAATTATATATTCAATATAAAAAGTTATTAACTAATGAAAGGATACAAATTTAATACGTTTCAACTCTTAACTCTAAATTAATGCTAACAAATATCACTACTAGAAAATTTAAAAATATAGACGGATTTATAGATAAATTTTTTTTACTATTAAAGATAAATTTTAGTATTACTGACAGATTTATAGATGGTTACAGTCTGTCTGTAATATGCGCATCGGTAAATAATTACAGACAGAAAAATTCATCTGTATTACAGACAGAACATTTATGAAATTTCAAAAAAAAATGTTTCATTTTTTTATAAACATAATTATTTTTCATTGTTCATAATTATTACAATTTATAAACATAATAAAAACTACAAAATTATATATTTAAAATTAAAAATTTATTTATAAATGTAAAATTAAAATTTCATTACAAAGAAAGAAGTAAACATCTAGAAAAATAATATAAAAAATAAAATAATATTGTATATCACTAATAATCGGCGTAATCATCTTCCAAAAAAGTATCACCATCAGTAGAGGAGGAGTCAATGATGCATGAAGCTGAAGATTGGTGGTGTTGGAGCTGGTGGAGGAGGAGGTGTAGAGGTGCTTGCTCTCATGAGTTCAAAGTATGCATGCATCTGTATATGCTGCTGCTGCACCTCCTTCTGCATCCTCGATGTCACCTTCTTCTTTATCTTCTTTTCTATTTTCTTCGCTCACTTCTTCTTCCATACACTTTCCTTACTCTTCCATATCTTTTCATTTTGCTTATGCAGTTCTTCATTGAGGGCATGGATCTAAGTGCAGACCATGTCCTCCACTTCCTCAGGTACAAGAGAAGGGGTATCTCCAGTGACAAATGCAGGAGACATGCATATTCTACAAACTTCACAAATACAAACAATCCAACAGCACACAATAATCAAGTTCAGAGAAGGATCTCTATGTCCTTCCCCCAGTCATACAATCTCTAATCCTACAACTCTATTTTATAAATTTTAAGTCTCTAAAATACATAAAAAAAAAAAAAAAACTAAACCGATTAAAAGTTAGAGTATCGTACCAGGAACATAATGATGCAAATTATTTTTTAAATGGATGCTCCAATCACTTGCAAAGGCCAAAAAACTGAAGTTTCTTGAAAGAGAGACAGAGAGAGGCGAGAAAGAGATTTATGAAAGATGAGGAAGGAGAAGGGGGAGGCGCGAATTTATGGGTTTCAGACATTATAGACCAAAAAATTTATCTGTAAATAGTTTAATGAAATGGTGTGTTTTAAAGATCTAGTTACAGACGAATTTTTTCGTCTGTAAATTCGTCAAATCCATTTACAAATGTAAAAATCCGTTTGTAAATTGTCACATGAAAAGTCGGTTAAAAAGGGAAATATTTACAGACAAAAAAAATCTGTCTGTAACTCTCGCTCCAAATTTTCCTCTCTTTTTTAAATTACAGATGAAAAAATCTGTCTGTAATTCTTGTCTATATTATTTTGCGCCAAATAGCGAGCAAATTACAGACAAATATTACAGACAGATTTTTCAAAAAAAAAAAAAAAAAATCACAAATCCGTATGTAATCAGCGCTTTTCTAGTAATGTATTTTTAGATACTTGATAACAAGATCCTTTAAACACATGATATTCTTTCATATAGAAGAGTTATCAATGGCATAATTAGAGTCTCTATGACATAATAATATTATCGAACTTTTCTAAATAATAAAATTTAATAGTAAAGCAGAGTAACATATATATTGTCTCTACATTTTCGTTAAACTTATAGAATGTATTAGAAATAGAATAAAGTAATTAGTAATCTCTAATTAACATCTAAGTTTACGCGAGATTAGATAAGCCGAAAACATGGATGAAGAGTATACATAAACAAGTCAAAAGAGGGACGTGTGAACTTGCCAACGATGACCACATAAATGCTTGTCGGTGATGATTCGTTAATACATTGATTTTCCTTTTCCAATTTATGGACTAAATTTCCACTACTTGTAATGTTTTCTGACTTTTGAACTCTTAGGCTTGTGAAGTGTCCAGTCTTATTGACCACAACCTACTGAACCAACTCATCCCATTCGGCTTTGCTTGGAGCAGCAAACCAAGCACCACCGACCTACCACCTTACTATGTGCCTATTATTTACATCTTATATTAATTAAAAATTTTGTTAACTTTGGTTCTTATTGCTCATTTTAAGCAAAAGTAATAATTTTGCATTAAAAATATAATAATTTTTAATATTTTGATGTTATTAATTATTTAACTCAATTCTAAAGGTTGAGGATTTTCTAATTGAAGTGTTGTTCTCCTAAATTTTGCAACATCAAAGGACCACAATAGGAATGTCAAAAGATACCCCCCTGCCCCCAAAAAAACAGGATAAAACATTATGGCTAAATGTTATTTTTGAGCATGTGTACACATATTTGCATTAATTTGTAATACTTTTTTCATCATCAAGAGCCATATTATAGGAAAAAGGTGCATTGGTGCCTCTGGCCAGTGCACAAATTATATTGGATCTCTATCAAAACCTGGGAGGAAAGTAAATAACCAAAGCTTCAGTTATTTTCCAATAATATGCAGTCAAGGTAGCTGTGAAAAAGATATAATATAGTGATAAGAATTATAGTGGGTGGCCTGTCCAAATGTTTTCCTTTTTATGGCAACTTTTCTATCATCAGCCAATGACCACTACAGACACCCTTTTATTTCTGTGTCATGTCCTACTCTCCCCAATCCAATTCCACCTGACATTATTACTTCCATTATTTTACACAAATCATATATAAGATTATGTTGGCTTCATATTATCTTATTTATTTATTATTTTCTTCCTTTGTTTAATTCTTTAATCTCCCCACAATTCTCTGGATATTGCTAGAAAGATGAGGTCATGAAAGATTTCTATATTGTCTTCAGGGAATGAATCATGATGCTGTTTCTGACTCTGCTGTTTTATGCTAACAATTAACCCAACAGTTTCTTATAAATAACTCTTCAACCCTCTTTACAAATTTATAACTCGACATAAAAATTAGAGATTACACACATGCACATACCCTTTAGCCATCTTTAAATGCTTACACAAGACATAAAAATTAGAGACTGCATATATGCATACACCCTTTATAGAAAGAAAGGAGATAGTGTCAAAGTAAATGAATAACTAAAGGTTCAAATTAAAAATACTCATCAAGACATGTTATTGCCATTTATCTTTTCAGCTCAAAAGGGAGGAAAAGACTACAGTTTTGGACTTCCACACAGACAAAAAAAAAAAAAAAGTAAAAGAAAAATAACTAAAGAGATGATAAAAATTTAATTTGGGCCTTGTCTTGAAATTTAGCCAAGCATGTTACTAGAGTTTGATTGGTTTGAAGAATCAGATCTGAGATATGCTGAGTTGCAAGGGACTTCATCTTCCAAAGGGGTGAAAGAAGAAGGGGAAGGACTATGTATCTGCATGTCCCTTAGCATTTGGCGAAGTTCTGAAGCTTCCTCTTTTAGCTGAGCATTCTCTTGAAGCACTTGATCATGGCTCTCTGACACATGGTTCAGCTTGTCTATGAGCTGGTGATTCTCATTTCTTAGCCAAACAACTTGTGACCACAGTTCATCAAGGTGTTTCTGCTTCCTCATGCGTGATCTACGTGCAGATTCTCGGTTTGATATCATCCTTCTGTGCTTCCTCTCATTGAGGAGACTTAGGTTTTGCTCCTCAGCTTCATCTGAAGTGGAGTTGCTGCTTATGCATGATGATTGAGGACTAAAGTCATGAACTTGATAAGGAGGGTTGTGGTTGTAACCATATAATTGGTTAGGGAATCTTTGGAATTGAAATGTGGGAATGTTGTTTTGAATCATGGTGTAGTTATTAGAAGGGTATGGAGATGAAGATGGGTTTGAAGGGAGTAAATAATTTAGCCCTGAGATCTCCCTGGCTTGCATGGTTTAGCTTGCAACCAGCAGAAGATTTATGCTATTTGAGGAAGAGTAGTGAATGATGGAGAGTTTTCAATTTGTCTTGAGAAGGAGGAAGAGTGGGAAGAGTAGGTATTATATAAGGAGAGAAAATGAGAAACTGGCCCCACTTTGTAACAGTAGAGTAACAGTGTTGAAGTATAAAAGCTTGTTACATTAATTTATGGAAAATGTCTTCTTACATATTTAGATGTTTTTGGTGTTTTTATTTTGAAGTATTTTTAAGATGAATATATATAAAAAAGATAAGAAAATAAAATTGTATATGATATTATATATGGTATTAATTTTAGATGTTCAAAAAATAAAATTATTAATTGATGAAATGTCATGCAGATGATGTCTATGAAGTGGGTTTAATTAGTTAGCTGCTCTTATGTTCCCATTGCATACTACGAAAAGCATTGCATTTGTGTATGTATGTGCATGACATTCATGACATGTTATAGGTGAATGATGACATGATTGATGCACATGAGTGGCCCAAAAAGGGTGAATGCAACTTGGGTTTGTGGATATAATCAATTTGAAGAAAAATATGCTTACCTAAGAGAGACAGAGGCATTTTATATCATGGGGAGTATAATTAAAATAACTCTATTGGAAGACCATTGATTGAAAGCAAGTACAGGGGAAATTTTGGAGTTGAAGTGGTCATTTAATTGTGTTATTTCCAAGCTGATTCTCGATCTGTTGCTTAGTATATTCACTTAAATGACGTAAGAAAAGGGTGTGGAAAAACGAGGCTGGGAAAGATAGGTTGAAGGTGACCTCAATGGACAAACTAACGAATCACAATGCTTAAGCAACTTCTCAGAACATGTTTGTTTTTACATTTTGTTAAACTTAGAACAAAGCCATAAGATGTACATGCTTGGATTATTATGTTTAAGATACCAATAGTAAGATTGATTCATTTTCAAAAATAATTCGTCTTTTTTTTAATTATCAACTTTTTCAAAGATATGTATAGGTTCAAATTTTCTATAAAAAAATGTTAGCATCCAACTTCTATGTATTTTATTTACAAATGTAAGGGTGACTAATGTTTTATAAAAAATATTAATTAGTATTTTTACTTTAAAAGACTTGTATTACTTTTAAAATATATTTATTATTTTAAAAAATAAAAATATATAATATTTTTCTATCTAATGTAAAAAATAAATTGGATGTTATATGAAATAGGGGAAGTGTTTTGTAGGGATTTCTTAACTCACATGGCCACCTGCATTGAAATTTCCAACAGGGATAGCTCATTTCTAAATTCATGACTATCCAAATTATGACTCAAAGACCACTACTGGGACCTCCAAAAACAATTGTATATGTATGGGTTAAATAGAAGCTGATTTTTTTATGAGCATTCACTTTTGTTTAGTAGGGCTAGTAGGTACTTGGTTCTAATCAAAGTATATTTGGCTCTGCAAATGACGACTTCAAATAGTGATAACAGCAAAAAATAGAAGGTTCAGCTAACATTACTCTCCACGCCAATTGTATGCCAGAAAATGCTGAATGCGTCACGCTCCTGTGTTTATTTTAGATACTATAAAGTTTTATGTATATAGGTTTTATTTTTGTTTTGGTCTTTTCTGGCATATTCTCATGATTATTCTGCATAAATTGCCCTTCACGTGAACAAAATGGTGCCCCACGACCGTTAATGACACTACATATTTGAAAATAAAACTCTTAAATAAACTTGTATATTTGAAAAGATAACCATATACACACATAATTAAAACTAACAATAACAACAATCACTTTTTTGTATGTATTTTCAGTAGGTGAGAGTGAGTATATAGGAATCAAACGATTACATAATATTTTATGCATTGCAAAAAAGGAAAATTATTAAATAATATTAAGACAATTTTTATAAGTATAGTTTTTCAACAAATACTAAATTATTATTAAAGAATTTGAAGACTTATACTAACAAGTTTATACAGTAATATTATTTACAGTGATAATAAAACATGTCTACTGTTAGAAATTAAGTGTGAATTGAGTTCTACATAGAATGAAATATGAGTAAATTAGAAATTTATAAAGAGATGAACCTATATACTCATTATTTTAAAGTTTTGAAATTGCATTATGGTGTCTTATTTATTATAAAGCTCCTTACCTTAATACTCTTCAAAAAACCCAACATCTACAAATAAATCATTAATTATGTGTGTATACAATTAAAATTGTGTCTTTGTTTTGGCAAATTCTAAATTTCATTTATATATATATATATATATATATATATATATATGAAATTTTTAGGATATATAGTTTTAGGATATATGAAATTTGAACATGATACGCTTTGATAAAGTAGATGAAAAAGGTTATAAAAGTTTTTAGTGATGTTGAGCAGTTGTTCACTATCCAATCAGGTACCAACAGTTTCACATTGCCACTTCTTTTGGCTATTGTCTTTTAAAAAATAAAAGGAAAATGACATATGGTGACCCTAATAACAACTTTAAATTATTTATATTTTGTTAGTAAGATCAATGAAATAGAAAATATCATGGTGATTATATGTACATCTTCTGTTTCAAGCATTTGTTATCCATGGCATTACATTCATTTTCTGTCGGACAACTATTGATACACCAAATTGGTATATATCCATGTAGTTCTTCAATTTGGTTATGCCATAAAATTGATGCAAATTTTTTGTCATTCAGAGGAAAATGGAAAGAGATGAGCTTGATTTTAACCACTCAAACGAGTGGAGAAAAGATCATGCATATTGCATAACATATGGTGGAAATTAATGAGTAGGAATGGTACTTTGTATTGCATCTTCCACTAAACCAAAAGCTTAAATGCATTCAGAAGGATGAGAACCAAAAATCTCACTAGACAAATGCTTTCTACCTGCACTTCCCGTGTGAGTCTGCTTGAGTGGACTCAATGGTCAACAATACCATTAGACAGATTTAGACTCTCCTTTCATTCTTGTCTTCCGTTTGTTCTTTGCTTTATCTCTCTCTCTCTCTCTCTTTGTTTTATTCTAACACGTAGAAACTTACATAAAAGTGTTTATATATATATAAACAAGTCAGTGAAACTTAAAATCTTATACCCTCTTTCTTATATTCAGATTGATTTTACACTCAAAATTCTAATATAATTTTCTTTTTTTTTTTACACTTATTTATATTCTTTGAATATGTAACTTAAAAGTTGTGAATTTATGTTTATCTTGGATAAACTTCTTACTAAGAATTATAAAACAAAATAAGAAAGTAAAATACCTTAATTTTTTATAAGTTAATTTTAACTTATTAATCAATGTAAAATATTTTTATAATTATATGTTAAAATTACTGAAATTAACCATTAGTTAGAAGTGTGCTCATATAGTTGGAGACTTAGGCTCTATTTATCCCTACCTTACAACCTCGGTTCAATTGGATCAAAATCTTTTTACTTCCATTAAACTTGCGTTGCATACTATGGTAAAGCATGGAACTTCCATTTTGAAGTTAATCGACACCAATCCAAACATGTTGTTAGATTGGTATGTCTGTCATTGACCAAACTGTTCTTGTACTATACATTGTACATGTACTTGCTATACATCAGTTTTGTCAAATCAAATTCCCAAATGCTATGAATCGCAAGGACACAAGTGGACAAGGAAAGTTTACAAATTGACTTTGCCATTTGATTGAGGTACATGATTTTTCATTTTCTTTACCTTATTTTCTTTTGGTCAAGTTGATCATCAGCTTAGTGCAACTGGTAGCTGGTTTCAGATCAGTCCGTACACTTGTCCACCACGCCTCGATTCCTTTCTTGACTAGGCCCACAATAGAGAGAATCAATCCTTGTTTATATAAAACACTTTGTATTTATATAACAAGAAAAGAAAAATGAGAGAAAAATATTATTATAATGTTTTAAAAAAATACATTATATAAATCATATCACTAAATGTAATTATGTTATACATTTGAAAAATAATATTACTTACAATAATCCTATTTAACTCACTAAGAGCAGGTAAAAATCATGCTAGTTTGGGCTTTTATTGATCTATTATTTTCCATATAAATGTTCATTAATCCATTAACCTAAGTTACCTAGTTTTATTTTCTTCCTAACTGTGGCTTCCCTAAAGTTGACAACAACGTGTAACATTCAACTCAACATGGTTATAATAAGTCAGCATATGTCAACCTTACATTGAACTGTTTATGTGTTATTTATGTGAACTTAGACTAGTTTGTCCTACAATGACAAGCATAATTAATGAAATATATATCAAGCAAAATTAAACAAGTTTATGCTACGAAAAAAAATTATCAATATGATTTCCTTTCCTATATTCGAATATGTTTCTCAGATCACAAATGATGATTTTTTTTTTATTTGTCTCAAAATAATTATGTTTATTACAATGATGAAGAAAATATAATGTCAAAAAATAGCCAGTGGCACGAGACCTAAAGAGTACATGATTTAACCACTGCCCTTTTCGTGCCAAACAGAGAGACCCCAAAATGATTTTATAACGTGAAAGAGACCCACTCTTATGCGGGTTAGTTATGTTAACGTATCATTGGAAGTTATTTTAATCCCATATATATATATATATATATATATATATATATATATATATATATATATATATATATATAGACACACTTAAATTTGTCTCTAATAAATTTAACATGCAACACATTTATCTTCAAATCATAAATATAATATATAAGAGAAAAATAAAAAAATACAAACAATAATTATATTTTTAATCATTTAAAAAATTTAAAAATTTAATTTTAAAAATATATTTTTTTATCTTATTTTTTTCTTTTCTTTTTCTTCAAAACAAACAAAATCTTGAAGAATAAATTGGGTTCTTTACATGTTAAAAATCGATCGGTATTATGAAATTAAAAAATTTCACCTAAATTTAGTTAAAATTTGGTCAGTTTAAAAAAATTATTATTAAATGAATTTTATATTGAGTCTAACTTAAGCAAATATTTTTTAAATTGTCATTTTTATAA